TGTCACTAAGTTGGAAATGCAAACAAGCACATTCATGGTCATCTTTGAAATTTCTATAGCTAACGATAGCGATTGTGAGAGTGATTCAAGCACTTTGGGTTCAATTGCGATCAGCTGCACAACGTGGGAAGGAGGCTAAAAGAAGCAAGGCTCTAATCTTTTGAGAATGAGAAAAAAGAAGATGAAGAAAATTCACACCATCACTTCGTTGGTAAATTGGTCTTTCTGACTGCACCAATGGCCAGAAAGAAAGCTTTGAAACTTCCAGACTGCCGCTATGGCTTCCACGTCGAGTGCATCGATATGTGGTTCGGTTCCAACTCCACTTGACTCATCTATCGCATGAACATAAATCCCTAAAACCCCCTCTAAGATTATATTTTTTGAGTCGATGGATTTATGTTCATGAGAAGATTCTTAAATTTATTGAAGAAATCATGAACGCATTGATTGGTTGAGATATGAATAAAGGAGAGAGTTACATTGTCAACCACTCAAGTAGAATGAAGCAAAACTCTTAAAGTTGGGGCTTCTTTTGGTGAAATGATTCGAATTTTATCAGAATTTTTAAAGTTAAGCATGGTTTTATGGGAAGAAATTATTACTTATGTTGTATATATGGAGAAGGAGAATGGGATGGCTGCATCATCATAAATGCACTTCTATGTGACGTGGGCTCCTCATATGCCCTTCAGGGTACGTACCTACTAATTTCTTTCTTATAGGATGGGGTTTTCTCAGGAACTTGCACTAAGGGGATAAAATCAGAGGCCATTAAACCAAAGAAAAAAATCTCTCCGTAAATAAGAGTCTAGGCCATTACAAAGGATATCAGAGAATTACACTAATTTGAAGATAGAAAAACGTCTGGTGGATGATTCCAGGTTAACAAAACTGACGGCGTCGTCAGTTACTCAAGTGAGGGAATTTATGAAACCCCTTAAGAGAAATAAAACAAAACTCTTTGACATCAAGGTGACTTTTGGTGAAACAGTTGTGAATTCATTAGAAACTCCGAAATTAAGTGTGCTCTAATAGGAGCAATTTTAGGATGGGTGCCCTATTGGAAAATTACACCGAGGTGACAAATCATAAATATATTTTAGGAGTCTAGACCATTATAAAGGATATGAGAGAAATACACTAATTCAAAGATAGAAATATATGTCTGGTGGATGATTCTAGGTTAACAAAACTGACGACGTCGTCAGTTACTCAAGTGAGGGGAATTATGAAACCCCTTAATAGGAATAAAACTAAACTCTTAGACATCATGTTGACTTTTGGTGAAACAGTTGAGAATTCATCACAAACTCCGAAGTTAAGTGCCCTCTAATGGAAGCAATTTTAGGATGGGTGCCATACTGGAAAATTACACCATGGGGGCAAATCATAAATATATATTTTTACATCATTTTAATATATATAGGATTCAAAATTGTAAAATTAGGACAAATATATGTCATTACATGTTTTATTTCATCACACATCAATCCAGATGTTAATTTTTATATTTCAAAGCATTTAAATATATTTTTTTAAAATTTTCAAAATTAAATCTTTTTTATTTCAATTTTTTATTTTCAGTGAATTTATATAAAAATGAGAGCTTCACAAAATAAATTTGACAAGCACAAACGTGCTAACATATCATTTTTTTTTTTGGGCTCAAGGGATCAATTATGAGTGCCGCATTGAGCATTCTAATCTTATGAAATCATAAAAAATATCTTTATTTGATTGATTTTTTGTAGATACAGCTATGTCTATATAAAGACAAGGAAAAAAAAGAATTATAAAGGAAATTTAATAAAATAGAATATCCTCAGTTATAAGGATATATTATATTAAGAAATACCATAATTTCTTACTATAAATATGGCAGTGAATAATTCCAATATTCTAAAGAATTTGACACAATAAATAAATAAATAAATAAATAAAATTTATATATTTAGAAAATAACTTCTATGTTTGATTTGGTACAAGTCAAAATTTAAGGTCACGTCTAGGATAACTTTCCATTTTCTCCTCTTATTTTTAAAACAAAAAAAAAAATAGTAATAAATCCAAAAATAATGTTTATTTATTCACTTTTTGTTTTTATATTTTATTTTTTAAAAGATAAAGGACAAGTTTTCAAAACATCAAAAACACATTAATATTATTTTTGCTTCTTTAAAAATATGTTCTTCGGAGTATTATCTGTGCGAGGCTCCGCCGCCCACCGCCCGTCTCTCGCCGCCCATTGTCGGTTGTCGTTGCCACCTGCCCTTGCCAATCACCCGCCTGCGTGACAACTGTTGCCCGCCAGCCGCCACTCGTCCCCTCTACCGGCCCCCTCTACCGGCCATCCCCCCCCGCCCGCTAGCCGTCTCGGTCGCAGTCGCTGCCACCCATCTCCGGTCCCCGTAAGTTGCAGCAGCTGCCGGGCGTCGGCCGTCCGCCACCTTTCGCCCACCATATCCACCCAAAGGCAATGCTTCATGCTGGATGAAACAAAGAAAACATCATATATGTCATGGGCAGCAGAACTTAATTCTAAAGCGCACATGAACCCAACCATTTTATAAAATGTATCATTCTTACTTTAAAAGAAATAAAAATTACCCGACGAAACATATTTTATATTTTATTTTTTTTAAAACATATAAAACCAAACGTATTTTCTAAAAATAAAAAATAAAAAAATAAAATAAAAATAAAATAAGCTAAAAATAAAAATAATAAAGAGAAAGTGATCCAAAACACCCTATAAGTTTAATTTTTTTATTAATGATAGCTTGTAAATTAAAGGTAATATTTGAAATACGGCTACAACCAATTTTAATGGGCAGTGGTGGCAGTAGAAAGTGATAGCCACAACAGGTGATGGGGAGTAGTTATAGAGGGCTAGGGCTGGGCAATGTGTTTGAAATTTGCACAGACTGGACTGATTCCAAATGCACAAAAATAAATTTTAATGTCTGAAATTGGCCCAACTAGGAAGGGTTGACACCAGCCTCCTCAAATTTTGATTATTGGTCTTCCATTCTATAGAGAAAATGACTCCTTTACCTTGTATTGTTTTGTCAATTGACTTCTCATGCATACTAAGAACTAACATGTACCCTTAGACATCCACATTTGTGGTCACCAATCTTTGTTACTATGATTAGAACAATTAAACAATCCAACAATAGAAGCCCAATAATCACAAGGCCAAGCCTATGTTAGTAGCTAACTTTTAGTGCTTTTCTTCCAAAGCGTTAGTCTCCTATGTTACATTAAGGAGAAATCCAATGTCGTACATCAGATAGGCTTCTGCACAGATATCAAGAGAATCCAATGGACAAAAAGTAAATCAGAGTACAACTAAGGAGGTCTCACAGGCGGAAGACCAAGAGCACGCAGATGAAAGATTAAGGGCTTGTAAAGGAAAGACCAAGGATGCATAGACGTCAGACCAAGGGCCCATGGGAGGAGGATTGAAGATCCATTAAAAGAAGGCTAAGGGTCGACATCAGAAGGCCAAGTGTTTAGTAGCGGGATGTTAAAAGACCTGTCTAACTATTTACAATCCCCCTAAGTTGGAGTTGAAGGCCGACCGAGCGAGGGTCATCTGAACAAAAGACTAACGACTATAAAGCTGAGTAGAGGCATCGATCTGCCCCCTCACCAAGGGAATAATGCAGCATCCTTGGTTACCTCACGAATGATCCTTAGATTCCTCATCAAGGGCTGGGAATTAATCATCATATAACCACACAAAGCATCCCCTAAAAATCACCCCATCAAGAAGTGAGCTACCTATTGGATTACAATGATTCAACTTATGACAATAACCTAACTTTGTTCTATCGAAAAAAGTTCCTTATTCAGGGACCAACAGTTGGTAACTAAACTAGCATAGCCGACTGACAAAACCATGCCAACTGAGTTGAGCCTCACTGATTTGAAGACTAAATAAGGGTTGATCGACAACCCTGATTTAGCGAAGGGGAACAAGTAGGTCTCGCCAAACAAGAACCGACTAACTCCGACCGACTAAGTCTTGGGCTGCCCGAACCGAAGGCCTATATATGTAAATATGTAAAATATCTTATAAAGCCCCCATTAAAGTAGAGATAAATATTTAACTTCAATTATTATACCCCTTATTTTCGTTCTTTCTTTTTTATAATTTTGAGAGAGTCATCGGTTTATCCACCGTCACATACTTCCATTTTTAAGAATAAATCTCTCTTCTAGATCATATGAATGATCAAAAAAATAGAGGAATAGAAATAACATTTTTTCAATGAGATCGAATCAAACATATAATTTCCTAGATGTTTTTTAAAATTTTTATTAAAATATGTTAATATAAAAAAAAATTAAATAACAATAAGCTTAAAATTAAATATATAATAATAATAACAATAAAGATATGTGAATATTTTACATATTAATTTCAAGAGAATTAATATAAAAATCAGATAAAATCCAAAGACAAGCATGAATGAATGGATAAGAAATCAGCATCAAATGAAGCTTAATCCAAAAAAAAAGGTAGCTTGATTCTCCTCTTCCTCCTTAAAATTAAAATATTATAATGGAAAATTTACAAGCATACCACACAATTCTTGTATATTAACATATCCAACATCCAAAGTTTCATATTGACACTTTTAAAAAGTCAGTGATGGCCATATTTTAGTTTTCATGCAAATATGAATATTCAAATGTTAGATATAAAAACACATTAGAATTGTGTGGCATGTATGTAAATGCCCCTATGCATACATTTAACCCAATTCCTATTTATTTACATATCTAACACCAAAATTTCATCTTTTACATTTATACCGCTCAAAATTTTCACACACAAACAAACTATCACTATTTTCATATTTTAAAAGCGAAATACATCTTTTCATGCATAAATACGACTGACATACATAAAAGATTGAATGGTATGCATGTAAATCTTCCAATAAACTAATTGAAAATAAATCCATCAAAGAAAAATCATAACAAAATGAAGATTACATCAAACCAGACACTCAGCAAATCAACCATTATTCCTATTAACATACAGAAAAATACTACAAAATGTAAGCAGAAAGCAGGAGCACCACATATTTACATTACATAGAACAAACAAAGTCCATGAAGCACAAGCAGCTGCTTAAAAGGCTACAAAGCTGCAGCAAAAGCACAGTTCAGCAGTAACGTCTCTTAAAATTTATTCATTTCAGCGTTGTCAACAACATCTATGGCTCTAAAGCTTCATCAGCTAATAGCCACCCTGTATGTAGGCGTTTAAGCGATTCAGCTCCTCTCTGTGCTCTGTTACAACTGCTCGTACGACGTCTCCAATGGAAACCATGCCTATCATTCCAGTCTCGTTTATCACAGGAATGTGTCTTATTCGATTATCTGCCAATTGATTATGGGATGAGATGAGCTTTCTTGATTAGAAATTTTGATGTTTTTTTTTATTTAAATTGTTTATGTTTTTTTAGGCGGAGTTTGGCTACAAGATGAATTTATGTTAAATAGGATTTATCAAATCTAGTAAAGCCGATGCTCTATGCGATGGAGATGAGCTCTAGAGCGACCGCAGAAGAAATTCTTAAATCCGCCTCACAATCATTTATGTGTTAAATGAGATGGAAAGCGGGAAGAAAAGACCGAATGCAAAATAATTGGATTTAAAGGAGCGTTTGGATTTAATTTTCGGTTATTTGATGTTTGGTTGGATTTATGCTAAATTTATGGCTAAGTCCTATTTAAATTATGCTACCAAACACCGCTTTAATGTATTTATAGCCAATAAGAATTTTGAACTTGATATACCTACCACCTCTCGAGAGTTTATGGTTTATTTGTAAATAGAAAAGATGTTTTTTTTTTTCGAATAGGGTGAGCGCTTGAAGCTGGTATCTTTGGATTCTTCACTTTGTTTCCAACCAATTTACTATTTATTTGAGCACTTAATTATGTGTGGAAATGAAATCATTATGCATGAAAGAGTTTGTGGAGTTTACAAACAATATTGAATTCAAGCTATATCAAATCAAATGATTGAACTTTATAAACATGTTCTAAGAAATAATGTATATATATTTTTCTTTTTAGTTTTTTATGTGTTGTAACGAAGTCATTATATCCAAGGGAGCAAGTAGAGTTTACAAACAATAATGGATTCAAGCCATGCCAGACGAAACTATGAAATACATGAAATTTACAATTTTTTTAATATAATTTCTAGCTTGGAAAAAACAAATAATTAAATATAATGATTTCATTATTCATATGCAAAAAATGAATGAAAAATGAAGTAATAGCTTTCTAAAAGGGGTATATTCAGCTCAAACCTGTCATGAGTTGCATGGCCTTCACAACTTTGGTATCTGGTGACACCGTGATCAATTTATTCTGTAAAAACAAGTGGTAGGAGTAAACATAGTAATTAAAATGAAGAGTTAAAGTCCAAAATAGCATAGGATTCAATGTTCATTATCTCAAATATAATGTTTCTTCAGATTATGTTAATAAAGGAAGAATCATTCTACCAAAAACTTCTATCTAGAGTTTAGATATTAGTTGAGATGAGCATTTAAACTTCAGACAGGCTTATATATCGTATGACTACCTCTTCAGTCATGATGTCCCCAACTTTCGTAGTCTTTGATGATCTTCCTTGAACAATAATTTTCCGAAGATAATCTGCAGCAAGTCAAACAGAAAATGTCACAAAATGTCAAATTATCAGAACTGGTTTAAGAACTTGCCAGCTAGAGAAGCGAATCATGGCTGCTACTGCTTGGATCTAGAGCTCAAATTTGTTTGATGTTATCTTGAGCTGATTCAAGTACGGTTATAGACAGACCACAATCCTATCTCAATGTGAGCCGAATGTGTCCCGTTCACTTTGAATTATGCCCAAAATAGGTTCCAATCTTTGATTGGTTTTGACTCCTAAGGTAATTGTTTAGTTCAACATACATATATATATACTCAGGTGTAATTATAAAGGGAAATTTATATATGTAGCACACAATTCTTAGGTATTAACATATCTCACACCTAGACATTCATATTAATATCAATATGGAACTTTGATGTTTTAATTCTATGCATGAAAAAGGTGTATTTTACTTTTAAAAGTGGAGGATACTGCTATTTTTTATGTGATAATTAAGGTTTGAGTGTTGTGTGTGAATATGAAAGCTTAGGTGTGAGATATGTAAATACGTAAGAATTGTATGCTATGTAAGTAAACCCCACAATTATAAAATATATAAAAAATATATTTGCATCCATATATACAAGCATAAACATTTTGATCTGATCTCAAGTTACCTCAAATTGATACAAGCTCGCCACTATTCAATTATGATCATAACCGGACTAGGCTTGTTAATTAGCTCATTAACTTGGACAAAGCATGATTTGAGCCAATAAAAAATAGGTGATCCGATTTTGAAGAAATTTTTTATGTTTGAAACAAGTTCATGTCCCCAAACCGAATTATAACTCAAATGGCTTGGTGCAAGTGAGGGTCTGATTTTAGCAATAACAACAACAACAATAATAACAAGCCTTTATCCCACTAAGTGGGGCCAGCTGCATGAATCCTTTTTCTTCATTGTGTCCTATTGAGTGTCATATTTTCATTTAATTATAATAAATTAAGATCATTTTTTATACAACATGCCCAATTATTTTTTAGGTCTAGCTCTACCTTTCTTAATATAAGTCAAATCTCCGGCATCTACTCTCCTAACTAGATCATTAGATGGTCAACATTTAATTTTTGGTGCAACAATAGGACTTCGCAGAAAGTCACCTATCATAGTACTACTCTCACCCAAGCACACTTAATTGTAGAGTTCTGATGGGATTCGTTGCAGTTGTGCTGATATAGTTGCACAACAATGAAAATATGAAGTGATTGTTTCTACCCGCAAGAGTGGTGTAGAATGGTTAAAGTTAGATTTTCTAATGCAGCTAGAATGATGTATTAAATATCATTCGCAATTCATATAAAAGAAAGTAGGCTTAGAGAACAATGCTCACTAAATATAATTAAAACTTACTTTGCATGAAAACATCAATGATATTATAATGATCAGTTAAATTCAAATAAACCAACAAAAATTTTGAAAATTGAAAAATCAACAAGCAAAAAAACTGTTTGCACTGCAAAAAAAATCCCAATTATATAAAATTTGAACAAAATAAAAAACTGAAGCAAAACATTAAAAAGATATTTAGAAGCAACTAGATAAAACAAGAGTTCATTGAATTGAAAAAAGTAAAAAAAAAAACCTAAAAGGAGATGATTTCCCTAAGAATTAAATAGTCATACTCATAGTGCACTAAGGAATCACATCCAACAAGCACACAAGATTGAAAACTACAATGAAAAACTTTATTGAATCAAAAGCTAATTTTACATGCCTCACGTGTTAATATTAGTAAGAACCCAACTCCTTAATCGACTGTTTCTCATTGGTTCAATTTAAATTTCAAACGTAATATAAGACTAACAGCTTAGGATAGATCCAATTTAAGCAAAATAATTAAATACAAATTAAGCTAACCTAATGAGAAACCACCCAGAATTGTTTCCATTATAGTTAGAAGGATACATTCAATTCTCCTGTGCCATAATCACAAGCATGTTCTGATAACTGAAAATTGAAAATTACAAATTAACCACTGAACAATAAAACTAAATAAACTTTGCTCAGGCGTTTATTTATTTATTCTATATTTCACTATAGTGTAAGCTCGCACATCTCGATCAAGAAAACGCCTAAATTCCTTGCAAAATGATCTCAATTTCTGTTGTTTAGGCTGTTTATTACTAGATTCTATGATAAAAACTAACCTGGGGGGGGGGGGGGGGGGAAACAAAATATAAAACCCAATTTCCATAA